GCGCACAGCGCGTGGAGCTGTGAACAGGGCCAACTGATCGGAAGCCGATTAATCGATTATTGAAAAAGTTGACAACTTTTTCAATAATCGATTATAATCGATTATGTCGATTAGTTGTTGCAGCCCTACCGAAAAAGAAATATCGGTACTCGTACTCGATAACGAAAAAACGGTATCGGTGCATCACTATACTTAACCCTTGAAGTGGGCCTACACCTGCACTGCAAGTACTGAGTATTAAAAAAAGATTTTTAAAAAAGTATGTTCGCTCACCTACGTTTGGGGTCCATTAACTAGTAATGGCAAAGCAAGCATGCTCCGTGTTTGGTGAACTTCCAAAGTGCTCACTTTTGTGCACGTTTGATGCGTGTTCCCGATACGCTAAAGGTGTGAATGGGGACTCAAGGGACCAGTCTAAGAGCAATCCTGCTCCGAGGATCAGATGAGTAGGGATGCATTGATACCGATACTAGTATCAGTATCGATACCGAGTATTTGAGCGAGTACTCGTACTGGCCCAAATGCTCCGATACTTACCAGTGTTCCGGTCAGAGGAACATGGAGCCAGCTTCCCGTGCGATCAGGTAGCTGGGCGGCGAGGAATGACCGGCCTTCTTGATTGGCCGGGAAGCCGGCTCCATGCTGACGGGCCGGGAAGCCGACTCCATGCTGATGGGCCGCTTCTTTGTCACAAGTCGACTCTAACTATGAGGATGAGTGGAAATCACTCACCTCATAGTTTTCCTTTAATGTTTGCCTGTAGATGGGCTTAAAAAAATAGAAAAATAAAATTGAATAGTTTTTTATTGCATGGCATTGGAAGACCGCTTCAGAACCCTCAATACTTTCTAGTCACGTATGTAATATTTATCTGTAGCACAGCAGGGAGCGCACACTGTAAATACATACACGTAACCGTTCCACTTTAACAATGGAAAGGAAATGATATTTCTGTATATATTATACATAAGTGAAGGAAAAGTGGAAGCCCTCATGAATATTCTGTGTTGCCGCTGGCACTGAAAGAGAAGTGGGTGGAGGAGACAAGAATAAAAGGGGGGGGGATCAGGCAGGTCTCAATAATATACTGTAAATGGCAATCCCTGGTGTCGGGTGCAGCGGCAGTCATGCGGATATACAAGTCATGGAAAGGGCTCCGAGCCATATATTGCATAATCGGACATTGCATCATACGCAGTGGACTAGAGAGGCACGGCCAAGCTGATGACGTTGCATGCTCAACCCATGACAAGCATTTCGATACTGTACAAAGCAAACTGAAAGGGAAGTGGTTTCTTGAAATAGCAGCGGAAATGTCAGAAATAGGCAGAGTAGGAAAAGAGAATTAATACGTTTAGATATAGTAAGAGATCCGGGAGGTGCTGCCCCTTCTACACCTCTATAAATAAATCGGAAAATTACTTATAGGAGATGAACATTTCAAACTCAGGATCCTCTTTATAGCCCGGTACAAAAAGCTCACAACTTCATTACTAATACCCCCAGACTGACCTGGTGTAGCTTGGCAATCACAGCCCCGGTCCTCTCCTTCTCCTCATACTTCTCCACCTTGGTCTGGAGTCTCTTGTATTCCTGCAGAGCTTGCTCCCGACGTTTCACAGCCATGTTCAGTGAGGGGAAGACGCTGCTATACCTGCAGGACACACAGACTATTACATACTGTATAGTTACATAGTATTTGAGGTTGAATAAAGACAAAAGTCCATCAAGTCCAACCTATTTGTACAGTATTACAATGCCTGCTGCTATACCAGTGTGTGCTATATACAGTATATTAATCCACAAACATAACAGGATCTGGCACACAGATCAGGGCTCATAGAAGGCCACTTCAGAATTGTCCAGTGTTTTGTCCTTTGCTGTTCTTGGGTGCTTTTAGCTATGTGTTTTGGGTCATATCCTGTTGGGCGAACCACAACATGCAGAGCTTTTTGACACTGGGCAGTACGTTCTCGCTCCAGAACCATACACTGTAGGGTACATACACATTCAGCAGTTGATAGGTTGCATATTAAAATACAAAACAGCATTCAAAACTAGGGATCCACCAATACCGGTTTTTCGGTATCGAGTACCTATATTTTGCTTTCGGCACTCGTCGACACAGAGTACCGATACCGGTGCTTCCGCTGGCATGGAGCCGGGCAATCAGGAAGCCGGGCGGAGGGTAATGACATGCTACCTGATTTCCTGGCTTGATTGTGATTGGCCGGGAAACCGGCTTCGCAGCCAGTCAGCATGGAGTCGGCTTCCCGGCCATTAAGATAGCCGGGAGGCAGGTCAGTACCCTTGCAGTGGGGCTACCCACCTGATCCTCACTCTCCCGCAGGTCATCGATCTCCTTCGTTCCCTCTCCAGCTGGTGGAATGTCCCACGGCATCCTCACGTCTAATGCTGGTCTAGGCAACCTGGATTACACGTGATGATGTCAGCAGTCCCAATACTGATGGAAGAAGAGGCTGTAGGGACCGGTCTAGCAGCCCTGAGGGAGCAAGCAAGAGCGGGATCAGGTAAGTAAATCTGCTGTACTCCAGTGCCCTGGACAAAAATGAGCACTTAACCCTTGCAGTGTGGGGGTAGCGCCATTGCAAGGGTACTTCTATTTGTTTGCCTGAAGATGGGCTGTCATTTTTGGTGTGATACTCCCTAAAGGTGCCCATACACTGGTCGAATTTCAGCCGGTTTTTAATGTACCGGCCGAAAATTTGCACAGTGTGTGGGGCTGTCGGCTCCCTTACAGCCGGCAGGAACATTTTTGAACAATCAGAGCCGGCTGCCATGAGCTGCCCACTCTGATCGGGTATTCTGACAGGTGCCGGCAGCACCCGTCAGAATACCCGATCAGAGTGGGCAGCTCATGGCTGCCGGCAGCACCTGTCAGAATACCCGTTCAGAGTGGGCAGCTCATGGCTGCCGGCAGCACCTGTCACAATACCCAGAGTGGGCAGCTCATGGCTGCCGGCAGCACCTGTCACAATACCCAGAGTGGGCAGCTCATGGATGCCGGCGGCACCCGTCAGAATACCCGATCAGAGTGGGCAGCTCATGGCTGCCGGCGGCACCCATCAGAATACCGGATCAGAGTGGGCAGCTCATGGATGCCGGCGGAACCTGTCAGAATACAATGTAAACAGCGGGATTCCTCGATCGACACCCTGTTTGTGTTGGAGGAATCGGGTCTATTTTTTTCGTTCAGCCTATAGATTGAATGAAAAAAATTGATAGGTGTATGGCCAGCCTAAGGACTACTTCTAAAAGGATGCAGACACTGCGGCTTTGCTCATTACAACACCAAGATTTGCTCAGGTCATTATAATGAGTGCAAACCCTTGTAAAGTATATAGATCACCGAGAGGGGACAATGTTTTTCTCAACAAAACTGGGGGTGCACGCCAGGTTCTCAGCACTGTGTATAATTTGCGTTACACATTCAGACTCATGCATGTAACACCAATACATCAATTACATGCAACTGCATTGCTGCCATCCTAAAAGCAGCAACATGGATTTCACATGTGTATTACCAACCTCTTCAAAGGATCCATCACGGTCTTCTGAATCTGGTTAACCTGTAACAAGAATAAACATTTAAATGAAAATATGAGTGTTACAGTTACCTACATTTATATGCACATACATACATACATACATACATACATACATACAGGCAGGCATGAGAAAAGGTAAGTACACCCCATGGAAACTGTGGATTTTGTCAACATATTTGACCAGGAAAACATTGACTCAAACACCAGCAGATAAAGGAGATATACTTGAACAAATGACACACAGACTTGACATGATGTATTCAATTGACAAAAATGTAGAATTGTTGTATGCAAAAAGTAAGTACACCCCAACATTTACCTCCATTTCAAATCCATGAAATTAAGAGTTGGGTTTTCCAGATTAGGTGCCAATGATTAGAACCAGGTGGAACCTGTTCTATTTAAACCTCAGATATCTGGGGTCTAGGGTTCGCTTTGCTCTTGACATGTGTGGTGTCACCATGCCAAGATCAAAAGAGCTCTCTAAGGGCCCTGTCACACCATCAGGAGTGCGTTCCAGTGCGTTCGGCCTCTGGAATGCACTGGAATACAACCCGGCCGGCTCACTTTGTTTTGGGGCGGAAGGTGGTATGGCGGTGCATTGAACTCAATGGCACTGCAGCCACGCCCCCCCAACCCGAGGTGCGATCGTCGGCACCCAAACACGTGGCACATTAGCGCCTGCGTTCCGGTCCAGTGCGATCTGTAAAAAATGAGCAAACACTATTTTTTGCAGATCGCACTGGACCGGAATGGCACCGCGGGCGGGGGGCGTGGCTGCGGTGCCATTGAGTTCAATGCACCGCCACGCCCTCTCCTGCCCCCCAAATAAGTGAGCCGGCCGGGTTGCGTTCCAGGGGCCAAACGCACTGGAACGCACTCTTGATGGTGTGACTGGGCCCCTCAGAAAGAAGGTTGTGGATGCCTAGGAGTCTGGTATGGGATTTAAAAAGCTTATCTGAAACCAATCATTCCACTGCAGGTAAAATAATCTACAAGTGGCAGAGATTTCAAATGTCTTCTAATTTGTTCAGGACTGGAGGGCCCAGCAAATGCAACCCAAAAGTTGACAGTCTGATACTAAAAGAAGTCCCCAAGAACCCCAAAATTGTATAACGGGGTGTTCAGGTAACACTTGCAACAGTTGTTGTTGAAGTACATGCATCTACAATCAGAAAGATTGTAGCAATTCAACCTGCATGAGATGTGTGTTCAGAAAAAGCCTTCGCTGTCCAAAAAGAACACAGCCCTGCATTCACACCTGAGCGGCATGAAATATGCACTTTGTCATCGCGTTTTGGGTAGCACTTTTTTTTGCACTTTTCTGCATATTTTTTACGCACGTAACATGCGAATACATAAAGTTGTGTGTTTAATGAGCAGACGTGTTATTGAGCGTTTCCATTGAAGTCTATGGGGCCAAGAAGCGCAGAACATGCTAAAAAGAAGATCATGTACTTTCTTCACGCCACGGTGTTCTGCTACAAGCGACATGACGCTCAGATGTGAACACAACCATATAAATTAATGGGAAATTTTTGGGGTGTTTCTTCGAGCAGAGAAAGCACTACAAAACGCTGAGTGTGAATGAGGGCTTAGGGCAAGACTACAGTTGGCTGATGAACAGGAGATGGCACACCACGTCAAGAGCATTTGTGCTACTTAGGATATCTGGCTCCTACTTTGCTCATCCTACATCATGAAGCTTTTGAGGGTTAGCAGCCTGAATTGCTGCAGTGCGTTGTGTTAACTTAATCTATTCATTTGAATGGCTGTCTAATGCACCGCTCGGACCAAAAATCATGCATGCAGCATTTTCAGCAGCACACCGCACCGGGAAAGTACAAGTTGTGTGCCATTCTGAATGAATGGCACAGCATCGCACCAAGGCACCACAATGGTGTGAACAGGCCCTGGTTATGTTGTGTACATAATCACCTGTCACTAACGTCTCCAAATTGGGGAGACAACACAGAAAGTGAAGCACAGGATGGCATTGCATGCAGTTTCTATTCAGTAGCTATGGACTGAATGGCCTCATGTCAGACACCTCCAATTCAGAGTAGGATTTAAGATTTCTGCTCATTTGGCCCAAATTTTACCCATAGTGGTGACCACATTAAGATGGTTTGATTTAGGATTTATCTCTTTCTTTATCCTTATAAATGTTTATTTACAAAGGAGAAATTGGTGATTCCATGTGATTTGTCAGCATCGACAGCCACTTCCTTTCTACATGCACCCTTTCCAGCATCAGCATCATTGCTCTGGACCGGCTGATGGTAACAGTGGACCATGCCTCTGCAGTGTGTGTCAGCAGGACTGCTTGTAATCTCCATCAGGGGTGCATGTGACAGGGTGACAATGTAGGACCACAACTGGGAGAATGTTGTCACCTCATAACAGAGAATAACAAGATTTAACCCTTGCATTTCACAGCAATAAAAAACACTTTCTCTTATTAAAGTGGAGGTAAAGTTCAATGTACAGTCTTGGTATCATTCTGTGCTGGGAGAAAGTAAATCCTGTGCGCATGGAGTTATGACATCTGTGCCCGGCCAATCAAGCATCAGAAGACTGCGAACCGGGAGGAAGATGAAAATCTTGCGATGGATGATGGGAGAGCAGACAATGCAGCGCTGGAGGCAAATGCTTTGATACGGAAGTCTACCATAATGTGCAAATCTGCATCTACCGATCTATGAACTGAGCTACAATGCTAATGTCACAAGTACCTTTTCTTGATTAAATGCATCCATGCGTTTCATTGCCGTGTCCAGTGCGGTCACCATTGATAGGAAATCTGCGTCTGGTTCACACAGGGGGTTCCCTAACAGGTCTGAGGAGATCTTGACAGCCGACTTAGACATCGCTGGTAGGGAGAGAAATTCAGTCATAAGAAACTATACATATAGATTGCTACAGAGTTATAGAAAACCAGTTCTAAGAGATCCGCTTCTGCCAATGCTACTTGTCTGGCTGCCATGATGATCTATAATTTCTGAATCACTGAACTAAAACAAGTAAACAGATCCGAGGGTTCTGCTGACTTCTCTGGATGCATTCTTGCTGCAGGTCAGAGACTGAAAAAGCACTTAAATTAGAAGATCAAAAAGGCTACCGAAAGACAGAGATAAAAATAGAGAGAGAGCGAGAGAGAGCCAGAGGGAAAAGAGAGCCAGAGAGAAAAGAGAGCCAGAGAGAAAAGAGAGCCAGAGAGAAAAGAGAGCCAGAGAGAAAAGAGAGCCAGAGAGAAAAGAGAGCCAGAGAGAAAAGAGAGCCAGAGAGAAAAGAGAGCGAGCTAGAGAGAGAATAAGAGTGAGCGAGAAAGAGCACGAGCATGAGAAACCAAGAGAGCAAGAGAGAGAGAGAAAAGACACAGAGATGAAGAGGAACGAGAGACAAAAAAAAGAGATACAGAGAGAAAAAAGAGAGAAAGAGAGCCAGAGAGGGACTTCCGGTTCCCATGTAACTGGCGGCGGGGAGACAGCGCTCCGTCCCCAACACTAACCGGCTTACAAATTCCTGCCAGCGACACACTCGCCCATAGCCCCGATCGGGTTGAGAGGCTCTAGGGGACCATATGGAACGGTTCCTGGAACCGAAAGCGGTCCGGTCCCGATCAGTGCCACGAGCGCTGGAGGGGACACAGGCACACGCTGCAGCCAAGATGGCCGCCGCACCTGACAGGCTGAGCCGCCGAAGCCCCTCTCCTGCATCCTCCCTGGCTGAGTCCCTGGACGGATCCACACATGCCCGGATAGCAGAGGCAGTGGCCAGGCTTCTCAAGCCCACCATAACAGAGGCTGTGGAGTCAGCCATGCAGCAAGGGCTACTACAGCTGAGGCAGGAAATTACAGCACAGGCACGATCCATCTCTGTGGCTGAACAGAGGATCTCAAGTGTGGAGGATGACCTCTTGGAAGCACAGGTTAAATTGGCACAATATGAATCTATATCCCTTTCTATGCAAGCAAAACTGGATGACCTGGAAAATAGATCCAGGAGAAATAACCTACGGATTGTGGGCCTCCCGGAAGCATATAAACCGTCGACACTCGCAAAACTCTGCGCCTCCACAATTCCGGAAGCTCTTCGCATCCCAGTGCCCTGCATGGTAGAAGGGGCGCATCGTCTAGGCCAGTGGTTCTCAACCTGTGTAACCTCGGGACCCACATGTTTCCTTGGTCATTAAGGCGTGACCCAAAAATGATTTCATTTCTGAAACATTTTAATTTATTACACAAAACAACTTGTGCAGTATTCAGCAATATATATTTTGCTGAAAGTAAATGAATTAAAAAA